TGGGGGGTGGTGGGGATAAAAGAGAGGATCTGTATGAAAGGGCTCAGGGCTCACTCCAAGAATACAGAGGTGCTCCAGAAACACTGTCATTTCTATTATGCTGTCAGGGATTTCCCTAAAGATGTTGAGCCTCCGATATCAGTTCCTGAAATATCCTCTTTCCTCCTGACAATATGTGGATTCTCTCTAGTAACTAGGAAGACACGGGGCACTTATTGGAGGTAGAATTAAGGCACTTGTGAGACCAAAATGCATTCAAAGGGATTAATTAAGTGATGGCTTCAACATTGTTCCAACCTGTGAATGAGGCAAAAGCCATTGATCAGCCTGCGATCCTGCGAGCGGAGACTGTCTCCTTGGGAAAGAGAAAGCACAGAGCCCTGGTCATCCCTGTGGTCTGACTCCCACCTTATAAGTAATCCTTTCTAGAGGAAGGAGAAAGACTTTTCTGTAACTGCATGGATGAATATTCTTAGTAAAGACAGAGCTAACAAGTCACCTGCCCCTGTGATTCTCCCTGCAATGTTGGCAGTGGCATTTGTTTTTGATAGTCAGAGAGAGAGAAAGTGGTATGGAAAGTGGTTATGTCAGAAAGGGGACAAGTAGAGCCGTCAACTGCCTGAGTTCTCTCTCTGCCTCGGCCACGAGTCAGCCATATGACTTCAGAACCACTGCCCCTGATCCAAGTCTTAATTCCAATATCTTCAACATGGAGATAACTGGAGAAGATAATTTTATAAGCCATGCGATTATTCAGCAAATGAAAGGGAAATGGATAATGGAATGATTCCCAGCTGCTGGTAATCATTTGGTTTCACCTGCTGCTTCTAAGCCATCAGTTCTGAGGAGTTGTCACCAGTAGCCACTGTCCAGCCTCTGTTTGGCCTCAGTGAGAAAACAATTTAATCTCAGCCAGGAGTTTAATCTTGTGACTTTTGAAATTTGGGATACAAGCTTGGATCTGCTTCAGAGCATCACCCACAAACTTCTTTTTGATGTTAGAATTTAAGGAAAAAAGAAAGCCATAGAACCTACCTGGTAACCCGTTGCCCTCTGATACAGTCAATGTAAGTTTTCTGGATTCTGTTTTAAAAATTAAATAAATGAAAAGTGCAATTCCAGTAAAATTGCAGAAGCATAATATTACTCAAATTCTAGTTTTTTATGAAATCACTTTGCTCTCTTGTATAACTCAGTAGGAGAGTTTTTTCTTAGTTTGTAACCAATAGTCCATTTTAATTCTTATAAATTTGAATCATGATTAATAAGCTTAAATTTTAATTTGAGGGCATGTATATAGTTCATTATTTGGCTAAATTTTAGCCCACTTATATTGATTAGATTTTATTGATTCTCTTGTGCTCTGTGTGAGGGTATTAGGACATTTTAAATCTTTACAGTAAGATCACACCCATACCTGATTCTTCTGAGTTTTAATATATGCATTCAATTCCTGAAGCCACAGGAAGAATCTGTTGCCCATGGCATTGAAGATGGGATGCCAGGGATGTCACTAGTAAATATTTGTCACACCCAGGTTCTGTAGAAACACTTTCAACATACTCTGTTCATTTAGTGCTCTCCACCATAGTGGGTAGCAATGCCTTTTCATTTTATAGATGAGAACATTGACACTTTGAAAAGTTGTTCGTGGTTGCCTGAGCACTAAGTCTCAGAGCAAATATTCTAGCTCAGTGAGATTAAGTGACAGGACAGCACAGGACAGCCATTAGCCTTTGCAAGAAGGCTGCCATTGTCAGCCACACGTGTTCCTGTGAGGTGCTAAATGTGTGTCTTGCTTTCTTCTCCTGCAAAAAAGAGAACAAAAACAGTGAAGTGCCTCATGGGATTCTATGAGGAACAAATGAGTGGATGCCATGTCAGGCCGGTAGCACCGTGCTGGCCAAAAACTAAGTTCTACCTCGGTGTTTGCTCTTTTACAGCTGTCATTGATTCAACACTCCCAGCAGGTCTGTACATGTAGGAACTATATTCATAAGAAGACACATGTTTCCAGGAAAATAATATGTTGGTGGTGTGCACACTTCATGATTGCTTTTTATTAGATCCAGACTAAGAAGGCACAGGTACTTCTTCAATGTCACTAGGAGAGTAAAGGGTGAATAGGAAAACATTTGTTGAGATGGACTCTAATTTATAGCTGGTTTGGACAACGCATCTGCATATACCTAGAATGTGCTTTATGTAATGATTTAACAGATTTTTACTGATCACTAATATTTTATTTTTTACTTTAAATCCTCCCTCTAGACAGTAGGACCTTATTGAAAAGTCCAGAAGAAAAATGTGATTCAAAAATGTATGGACTGTTCAGGCAGAGGCTTTAGGAGAGCCTAAATACTCTTGTTGTGTCATTGATCTGTGTTAACCCTACAGAAAGTTGTCAGAGATGTTCTCCAGTTGGAATCAGAGTTATTATCTGCCAATGTTCAATTTCAGGAGAGACAAAGGAATTGAACATTTTTTTTTTAAGATTTATTTATTCATACAGAACTGGGGTACAGGCCAGAGATGCTGAGGGTGAGAGGATTCACCAGGGACAGAGTGGGGAGCAGAGCAGGCAGATCGACGAAGTACACTGCTGAGGGGAGCAGCGGGTGGGTCAGGAGAGGTCTGCCACACCATGTGGATCTCCTCCGGGGCAGGTGGGAATCAAACTCTTGATGAAGTGGCTTAAGCTTCTTGGTGCAGTGCTTTAACCCGCTGCGCCACCAGGGAGGGCCCAGAATTGAACATTTTTTATAAATTATTACTTAAAATAACATGGGTGCCTAGTGAGGTTGAAGTCAATAGAAAAACACATTCACATTTTGTGGGTAACAATGAATTGGCACTGTAGCTTTGGAGCTGAAGGGGTTTAAGAGGAACACAGGGAAGAGGACGTGTTAAGGAAACCTTGCACATTTGTCCCCCTGTAATTCATTGTTACAGTTATGATTCTGTCTTGACTTTCAGGCAATTCTGTACCTGCATTCTCCATGCCCTGGGGATCTATGGAAGTTCCACACAATATCACAGAATTTTTCATGCTGGGACTCTCACAAAACCCGGCGGTGCAGAGAGTTTTATTTGTGCTCTTTTTGATCATCTACCTGGTCACAGTTGGTGGGAACATGCTCATTGTGGTCACCATTACCTGTAGTTCCACCTTAGCATCCCCAATGTACTTTTTTCTAGCCAACTTGTCCTTTATAGACACCTGTTATTCCTCCTCCCTGGCTCCTAAACTCATTGCTGACTCCTTACATGAGGGCAGAGCTATTTCCTTTGAGGGCTGTCTGGCTCAGGTCTTTGGAGCCCATTTTTTTGGAGGTGTTGAGATCATCCTGCTCACAGTCATGGCTTATGATCGCTATGTGGCCATCTGCAAGCCCCTGCACTACACCACCATCATGACTAGGCAACTCTGTGGCCTGCTGGTGGGGGTAGCTTGGCTGGGGGGCTTCCTGCATTCATTGATTCAGCTCTTCCTGGTCCTTCAGTTGCCTTTCTGTGGGCCCAATGTGATCAACCACTTTGTCTGTGACTTGTACCCCTTGCTGGAACTCGCCTGCACCGACACCTTTACCATCGGTCTGCTGGTGGTGGCCAACAGTGGTGTGATCTGCATGTTGAACTTCCTGATGCTGGCTGCTTCCTACGTCATCATCCTGCGCTCCTTGAGGTCCCACAGTGCAGAAGGGAGACGCAAAGCCCTCTCCACCTGTGGGGCCCACTTCACTGTGGTTACCTTATTCTTTGTGCCCTGTATATTCACTTACATGCGCCCAGCATCTACTTTACCTATAGACAAAAACATGGCAGTTTTTTATGGTATTCTGACACCTATGTTGAATCCACTCATTTATACCCTGAGAAATGCAGAAGTGAAAAATGCCATGAGAAACCTCTTCACACAGTATGAACGTGCGGGTGGACAGTGATGCTAAAGCATAAACTAAAACCATTTTACTTCTGTAATGGAGCAACCCCAAACTTTTTTATTACATATCATCTTAGTACATCTCATCCGTCCATTTATCTTTATAGAATTTCATGCTTTACTTTTTTCACTTGAATCTGTGATTTGATTATAAAATGACTGTGAAATACATTGGCTTGTATGTTCATTATCTCAGTTTTAGAAACGAGGGGACTGTGTCTCATGGTTATTGGTTAATCAAACTGATTTATTTTGAAGGCACTAAATTCTGACAGTCAGTTGATGATTTTTGATCATCCTGAAGATCTGTAAGAAGCAATCCATGTTGGTACTTGAGTTTGGGTGATTATTATTTTCTAGGTATAGCATACAATAAGGAGGCAAAATACAACATAAGGCAAATAATGTCACAACTAGCCATGTCCAGCAGCTGGTGTCAGGCAGGCTCAGCTTCTGTCCCTCTCATCATCCCACGTGGCCTCATCAAGTAGCTGCTACGCAGAGCAGGAGGGTGAGATCTGGAGACAGACCAACCTAGGTTGCTTTTATTTCCCACACTTACTAATGGCATGACCTTGAGTGAGTAACCAAGCCCCCACAGGTCTCTGATGCCTGTCTTAAGATAAAGATAGCACATGTCTAAATGTGACTGTGAGAATCACACTAACCTATGTACAATTCTTCATCTCCTTTCTGGCTCACATAACCTCACTGCCTTGCATGACATTATTATATACCTCAGTATGTTTCCTAACTTCCACAAAGAGGTTGCTTTCTTTCACTTTTTCCTCTCCAATAAGTTTGATACAGATGCTACACTGAGAGTAGACTAATTCTTTGAACAGTGATGCCAAGTGGTATTTACTTTTAGTTTTCCCAACTCATGTTCTGAGGGCTGCTGGAATATATCCATTTCCATCCCACTCTTTTTGTGGTTTACAAACCATCACCACATTTCTTCTCAGGATTCACTCTAAGAGTGTAGGAGGCTTAATTTATAATAAATTTGTTTTTTATTTGAGAAAGAATCTGGAATTTACAATGTTGTAGCATATATACTGTGTACACAAATTAAAACATACTAAAATCAACAAAAGCAATATATTTACTGTTAAGTATTTGAAAGTGGTCTCTAGAAACAAAAAATTCAGGAGGTCAGCAGGGAAAAAGTTTTTTTACATCAAACTACTTGTCTAACAGAAGCAACAGTTGCACAGCTCTTTGACAAAATAAAATTGTTTTCTTTTAGTGTTTACATTTGATAGTCTACTTAATAAAGGCAAAGTTTAAATGAGATCTTGAATCCTGTTCCTACTTTACACTACTGTTAGATAGTAAGTGTATAATTGAGTCAATTTTCCGATCCAGAAAGACATAAGAGGTCGTGGTGGGGCTCACCAAAATCCAGCTCACCTTACTTTGGGGTGCCACAACCTTATTCTAAGGGATATTTTTAAATGGCAGTCTTACTTTTGTTGCAATGTGAAACACACATTTATTTATTAAGCTCCAACTAAGTTTATTTTTTTCCTCAAATTTGATTGATTTACCAGTTGCTCACATAACTGTAATTTTGGGAGTATAGTTTCACCACCCCCACTTCTCATTTTGTGTTCACGTTTTACAACCCCTCTTACAATTTAAAAGTACATCATGTTATTTTCTTTTTATAGAATTCAAAACAGTAAAAAGGTGAAGCAATTTGCTTCCATTTAGGAGGTTAATTAATGCTGGAGGCAAGATGAGAACACAAATGCTGCAATGTGTTTTATTGCTGTGGAGAGGGAACGTTTGTAAATCTTGAACTTAAGAAAAAGTATATTATATGTGTATGTGTGTGTGCGATTACCTTCTTCATGTCTGTACCTAGACAGGAAGTGTAGTTTGAAAATACAGAAGGCTTCAAGTGTTTGTGCATCATACTAGCTGTTCTTTTCTGTATTGTTCTAATTTTTAGTACTTATGTCTGTTGTCGAGGCGAGCACCACAGATGTTAGAAAAATTCATCATAAAGCCTCTTGAAGGCATTTTTTTCCTACTGCCTCATCCTTGTTTTCATATATTGTTATTTTCCTACTTTTAAAATAAAACTTCACTTCAGCTGTAATATTGGGGATAAAGAACATTCCAGAATATTGCTGTTGATTTGTTTCACAACCACAGCCATGAAAGTATTGTAACTTTTACATTGTCTTATGCTGTTCTTGTCCTCATAGGTTCTTTCTGCCAAAAAAAAGTATTAAAAATCATATTTTATGAATGGCCTTGGTATAATGGTAACTATAATCAAGTTGCATTTAGGTTAGATTAACTTTTTCTTGTTCTGTGAAAATAAAACACTTTGAGAGTCTTCAAATCATTGTGGTTCCTGACACTTTGGCTACAGTACCCCAAAGGATATAGGAATCCTCCCCACAATGTGTGGGAGTCTAAAGAAAATTAACCCATGTAGGATAATTCATGTTCCAAGTTTAATCAGTTAAGAAGGGAGTAAGTCTCTATAGGATAGCACTAAATTTCCCCTAAATGCTCCAGTCCCCAGATTTACTGATCTGTAGTTTTTTTCATTTGTCCCCAGAGTTTCTTCATGGCGTTTTTTACTTCTGCATTTCGGAGAGTGTAGATTAAGGGGTTCAGCATAGGTGTTGCTATGGTGCAAAACACAGTCACAGCTTTGTCAATGCGGAAGGAGGTGAGTGGTCTTAGGTACAGGTATGAACACGGGACAAAGAACATGATGACCACAGTGACGTGAGAGGCGCAGGTAGACAGGGCTTTGCGCCGCCCCTCAGCACTGTGGTTCCTCAGGGAGCGCAGGATGAGGAAATAGGAAGCAACCAGCATACAAAAAGTGAGCAGACACATCGAGCCACTGTTGGCAGTAATGAGGGGTCCCAAAGTGTGAGTGTCCGTGCAGGCTAGCTCCAGGAGGGGCATTAAGTCACACAGAAAGTGGTCAATGATATTGGGGCCACAGAATGGTAGAGGCATCATGAGCAAAATCTGGACCCCTCCATGAAGAAACCCTAAAACCACAGTCATCGCCATCAGGAAAACACACACAGATCGGCTCATGATGGTCATATAGTGCAGGGGCTTACAAATGGCCACGTAGCGGTCATAGGCCATGACCACTAACAAGACGATCTCAGTTCCACCAATGAAATGTTCTGCAAAGACTTGGGTCAGGCAGGCATCGAAGGATATAGTGTTCTTCTTAGAGATCAAGTCAAAGATCATTTTGGGTGCCATACAAGAAGAGTAGAAACCATCTAAAATGGACAAATAGGACAGAAAATAGTACATGGGGCTTTTCAGGGCTGGGGTGCTGAAGATGGTGACCAAGATGAGCAGGTTACCTGCCAATGTGATCAAGTAGGCAACTAAAATCACAGCCAGTAGGATTTTCTGGAGAACTGGATTCTGGGTCAAGCCCAGTAGGATGAATTCTGTTACATTGTTCATCCTTTCGGTGATTCTCTTTCAACTGTGTGTGCATGGTCCTTCTGGAAAGATCAGTGAGTTATTTTGAGTGATGACATTTTAAATTCAATACTAAAATATTCCATTACCTATCTTGGGTTGGTAGAACTACACCTTCCAACTCTCACTTTGCATATCATTGTAAAGATGAGTGGAAACTGGTTAAATTTATTCTTATTTTAATTTTTAATTCTTTTGTTTAATTCTTTTAAATTTCATTTTAAGACAATTTTAGGTTTACAGAAATGTTTAAAAGTAGAGCTTCCACCCTCTGTCACCCAATTTCTTATGGTTTAATTATCAAAAGTAAGAGATTAACATTGTTATAATACAGTCAAGTGAAGTTCAGACTTTGTTAGAATTTCAATTTTCCTACTAATGTCCTTTATCAATTCAAAATCCCATCTGGATGTATGTGAGATTACTTGTACAGGTGCTGTGAATGTTGTCTTAAGGTGATAAACTTTCTTTTAGCTCTAAAAATTTCATAATTGGCTTTCTTTCACTTTTGGGGGGCATTTTCAACAGCAACAGTTATTTTGAAGTTTATATTTATCAGCAAGAAGATTATAAATATGTGAACACAATATTCTTTTAAAGGTCAGATCTGTATATCAAATTTGAAAATGTCATACCTTTAGCTGTACCAATTGTGCTTTGTGAGCAGTTAAACTGCCAATCAATGCACATGCATACTCTCATACGGATCAACTCCAGATGAATATTTTTTTTCCCTCCAAAATGACAGGGAACTATCTTATCACAACCACCGAGCAGCCATAGATGTTGTGTGACTCAAGATGACTCTCAGCTCACTGGTTCCAAATCTTTGAATGTGGAATGTAAGTGGTACAAACTGGCCTGAAAAGTTCTCTATCTTTTTCAAATGAATATTCTGTATAACTGACCTTTCATGACATACAGAATAATGCTGTAGACTAGGAAAACAACCTATTCACATTAAAAAAATGAAATTAACTGAGTCATCAGTTTTCCTGAGTTTCTGATTGACAGGAAAGAAACGTTAGGCTCATTTAAAATAGTAATACAACTTTTCCTTCTGACATTAATCTATTAAGATGAATTTCAAGTTTTCATTGCTAGCTGGTAGAAATATTGGATGCAAATAAGAATATATATTTATATATTTTCATAGAATGATCTGTGTGTGTATTTTCAAGAATTAGTACATGTTATTACAAAACATGTAATATGTACTTTATTCCTCATCACTTCCTCCTTTCCCCAGTTCCTGCCCAAAAACTACATATTTTTCTTCATACATTCTGGACACAGAAGTCAGTAGCATCTTCTCTCTGCTTTACTCACTAACTGACAGAATGAGATTTCATTTTCAGGGAAGCTCAGTTTCAGAGTTGTTTCTTCTCTATTCATGGTCTTTATGAATGGCGACAGTTTGTTAATCATTTATAGTGAATAGCCACACTCTAATTTCAACATGAAAGTCATAAATGAGGAAAAAATTTCAAACAAAATTGTATCCAGTTAGTATACATAATAAGACAAACATATTTACAATATTTCAAAACTGACTCTAGTAGCTACCAACAATGTCTAGCATCTGACAATGTTTCTATTGATATTTCATGTTATTTGTCTAAATTCATTTTTGCAGAAAAAGATTGATCTTTATTCCACAGAATCTAAATACAGAAGCAACTATGTTGAAAGTAACTTGTCCAAAGAAATTTGATTAGCTTAAAATCGGAGGAGAAAGGTTTTGTTATCACTGACCTGCGTCTGGTAGACTGGATCCCTCGGTTTTTTGATGGAGCCAGGTCATTGCTTTCTTCCCACCACAGCACAAGCCACACAGCTACAAATGCCCTACTTGAACTAAAAAGTGGGACCTTGGAATTCTTAAATCTCTATACTACTCTCCCAATGTTGAACACCTAAGTTTCTTTCCGTTCCCATTATATGGCTGGATTTATTAAAATAGTGAGCTATATTAGTTAGGAATATTCTATAAGTCTAGGAATTCATTTCTATTCACATTCCTGACTTCTATGAAAATATAATTTGGATTCAATTAACAATAAGAACAAGAAAACAATTCTTCAAAAGCTACCCTTTGAACTAAGAATGTATCAGTGAACCAAATCTATTTCAGTGGATATTGTTTTCCTAAATCAAGTCTGCCAAATGTTTGTTTCCCAGAAAGACCTTGAGATTCCCTTGGATTCTTGACTTATGCCATCAGGCTAACCCACACTGAGGTGAGAGCGGTGTCGCCCAAACACGTCTGCAGCCTGTGGAACCATGCCCCCACTGCAGTTGTTCTCACACAGGTCCATCTGTGCAATTCTTTCTTCATTGACCCTAGAGAAATGTTTAAATAGATTTTCTTGGCATATGGGATTTGATAATTCATTGATCCTTCATTACTCAGGGGGCTAGTAACTTCCCTGCTATAGTCTTTGTGGGATCATCATCCAGCATCTTGTGTTTTTTCCCACTTGACTCCAGAAACTTCACTGGAGGCCAGTTTTAGAACTGCAGTGAACTTCGGTCAAACATGTCTGTGGTTAGTTAGGGTGAGACAGGAAGGTAAATGGAAAGCCTTATTATGGAGGGCTTACTCACTTCGACACTGGTGAACCTGGATAAGAAGATACAGGCTAGTTTCGGGTATAGTTTAGAGTTTAAAGATGAGTTTTCCTATGAAAGCATGATTTGTACAAATGGCAAGATTGTTCTTACAATGGAAAGCCCAGTTGACTGACTTAGAGGCAGGATTCCCAGCTACTGAAGTTTGAGTAATGTAAGTCATTGACATAACAACTATTTTTGACTATTTTGGGGTGAATATCCAGATGACAGATTCTCATGAACAATTCCAAAGGAATGTGACTTTACACCCTGTCTCACAAGGAGAGAATTCAGGTGTTAGATTTAAGTACAAGGCATTCACACAGTAGCCACTGAGAAATTCACAGTCAACTACTTATGTATTTAGATATCGAGAGGGAGAGAAAGAATGAAAGTCTTTAGAAAGGAGCTTCCACTAGATTTCACCCACAGCTTCTGAGATGATGACAAGCTGCTGTCACCCTGCTGAAAATCATCTCTCTGTGTTATTAACCTTTTAAAATCCAAAATGGCACATTCATCACCAGAAAGGGAAACAATGCCTTTACCCCATGTCCAGCAGTTAATTTTGCACCCCTTGGCTGCCCACTTCACTCAAAATCTGTTTTCTTCTGATATAGATGTTGTCATGTGGGAAAATAGACATAATGTTGCTTTTACTCTTTAACCATTTTTAAGTTTACAATTCAGTGATACGATGCATGTTCACATTGCTCTATAATTATCTGCATCAACATGTCCTGTGTTCATTTAAAAAAAATGAGTGATTTGTTATTGAGTTGTATGAGCTCTTTATATATTTTGATATTACTCCCTTATAAAATATATGGTTTGCAACTACTTTATTTCATTCTTTAGGCTGTCCTTTCTTTTCTGGCTAATAGAAACTTTTTAGTTGGATGTATTCACATTTTCTATTTTTGTTTTTGCTGCTTCTATTTTTGTGTGACATTTAAGCATTTATTACCCTGTGCCACTGGGCAGAAAAGCTGACTTTTCTGCTATTTTACTTCTAGGAAGTTTTAAAGTTTCAGTCTTTAACCTATTTACATTGTTTTTTGTCTATGGTATAAAGGTCTAATTTCATTCTTTTGTAGGTGACAGTCTGTGTTTTCCTAGACACATTTCCTCACTTATATTACCAGTCTCCCATCCTTTCTCCAAAACCTTAGTGACAGAGTACGGAAGATATGGGTCAGTCAGGTGATGCAGGCAACGACCTTGTGAGATATACAAGTGGGCTCTGGAGCTCTGGCTGCTCTTTAAGTTGTACTTAAAGGAGACATTTTATAGGCAGAGAGCTATTCTTTCTTTCTTTTTAATTTATTTATGCATCCAGAACTGGAGTACAAGCCAGAGGTGCAGGGGCGGTGAAAAGCTTCACCAGAGACAGAGTGGGGAGCAGGACAGGCAGATCGACGAAGCACTCTGCTGAGGGGAGCAGCAGGCAGGTCAGGAGAGGTCTGCCGCGCCATGTGGGTCAGCTCATGGCTGGGGATGGAACTCACGGAAGTGGCTGTGGTGAGCTTGTAGTGTGCGTCCTAACCTGTTGCGCCACCAGGGAGGGGCAGGCAGAGAGCTGTTCTGCCAAGTCTTGGCTCCATGTTTTCTTTTTGTTATAGTTGTTAAATTTAACATATAGCATGCTTTAAAATTTCTATTGCTTTATAACTCATTTATAACACATACAATGCTGGGAGTACACCCACACCAGGGCAGGTGTACATGCTTCATTATCCCTCCTCTGAAGCTCCAGTGCCACCGATTCCCTTTCGCCCTCCTCCCTGCATGACCCTTCCCCCCAGCCACCATACTTTGCAGGCTAAGAGGTATTTTGTTAACTTTTGCCACTTTGTTATTTATATTACAGATATGAATAACCATGTGGTAATTTTCCAACTTTTTTCACTCAGCATAATTGCTCAAGTTATATCCATATTAAGTTAAATCAACTTCACACTTGAGGAAAAATGCATGTATTTAACTTAGCCACCTATAGATCACACAATAACATATCTATGTTGATTACAGTAGGTGGGATAAAGTAATACATTTTGATAAAAATAATGTTATGCTTGTTAAATATTTTAATTATCTGCTACATTTAGTTGATGATGGAGTCTATAATGGAAACTTTGCAGAGTTGCTCTTCTGTGTATAGAAAATCAGCGATTTATGGTAAGCTTTTTATGTTGACTAGCAGTGTCTCTTTATGATTTGTAAAAGCTGAGAGGTTACTAATTAGAGATGTCGGTTGTCATTTAATCAAATACTGATATTATCATGATAGATGATCCATTATAGATTCTTGAAAGCAGGAGGAGAAAACTAAAAGTCACATATTTTGACTTTGAGATAGGAAAAAATAT